ATGACATTAACATGAAATTTACCAGATTCCATTGTTAAAAGTCATTTTCAAGTGAAACTTTTCTTTTGGAGGAGGGAAAGAATGTGTGATTTTCAGTTGACTCTTCAGATAACAGGGAAGCTTCAGGAGCCTAATTAAACCACATATTTGCTCTAACTACTTTAGCTGGAGACTGCTAGGAAACAAAAGCAGCAAACAGATCTGATCTACATGCAGCAATCAGGCATTTGACCATTGCTTTCTCCAGCAGAGGTTTTGAGTAGCACAGAAGTGAAAAATCTGAGAAGCAAACCCATCATCTGCAAATGGTGCTACAGCCACAAATCACAGGGCAGCTCTTATTCCTGCATAGCATAGAAAGCATCATTCATTGTACATGATTTTTATTTATGCCCAAACACAGAAAAAACGACTATTATTACAAGCATCATTTTTGAATATTGAGTGGCACCATATTTTGATCAGCATAATTGGACGTTAGCTCACAAAGATTATAGAGTTAATACTTAAAGGATAATTTATACATTGAGCAAGAATAATAGCTCTTTCATACTGGTTACTTTTCCTCCTAGGTTTATTCTCTTGAATAATGTCATCCATATTTAATGCAACAGTTCAATTTTTCAGCTAAGTAAATCCACATTTCAATTATCCATTTTGATTTTAGTATAAGTTGAATTTAGATACTAATGATACTGTGGATAAGGGAAGGAGCAGATGAGTCTTTATTATCACTGACTAGTCAATTCAGTCAAACAATTGCTTTCTTAAAACAGGATTCAGAGGAAATTCCTTTTAAAGGCATAAAACCCCATAAAAGGCATATTTCTTCATTAAGTGGAATCTCTTTTAACAGTATCATGGCTGTTTATCCATTTACCTTAGTTTCCAGATGTAAAATAACAGCTGCAATGCTTGTAAGTTTTTTATTTTCTCCTCAGCTAAATTGGCAAACTAAGATAAAAAATATTGTAGGTTTTATTACTTTTCATTTGTTGTTTTAAAAATCTGCATTTCAGACTTTTGGTTCAGAATCCAAATTTACAGGCATTATAATGGAATATGTAAGGCAACTGTAGCATTTTGGCGTACTGTATCCTCAAAATAAAAACAAAAAATTAAGAGACAGACTCTATAACCAAAGAAGAGAACTCATATTAAAGCAACCATCTGGTGAGTTCTGGACAAACACAAAGTCTCCATTTTTTGCCTGAACCATTGAGATTTCTGTACCACCCCTCTGCTTTATTTTGCCTATTGAAACCTGACCTAAACTAAACAACTATTCTGTATCATTAAGTTGTCCAGGAAGATGAAAGTTTAAATACATATCAGACAAGCTGCAGCATCTGGTGAATTCAGTAACGATGGTCTCTTTTAAGAACTTCAGTGTTGGAATAACTTTAGGACTAAGAAAATTTGCTTGACCTATGGGGAAAAATAATGTTCTTCTAGTCAGATGTTATTCCTGTTCACCAGTACTAACACTTACCAAATCTTCTCCTATTTTCAGACACTCATAAAATAAAACCCCTTTATGAAATAGCTCACTATATCTCTAATTCTACTTTGCTGTAGCCCAATAATATACTTTGGCTTCATAGTGATCAGCAAGTTAATCTTTCACTGTGATTGTTCAAAAATTATTTCCACACTTTTTAAACACATTGATTACTCCTAGGTTTCTCCCCTACAGAATAGCACCATACAGTATTTTTTAACAGTAATATGTAACTAGTTTAGATGCTCTCTTATAGTTTGTTGATATGAAAACAAAGTTAGCTTTCTCTTTAAGCATATGAACTTAGATATATGAGATCTTTAAAAATATTAGAAGAGCTCACGATATTCATGTGTATTTGCAGCTCCCTTTTAAACTGTGCTACAAACCACACTAAACCAAATTTACACATCTTCAAAAATAGAACAGAATCATTTTTAAATGTGAGTTTAAAAAATTAGTAGGTGGGAAGAAGCTTGTAACAAATATGAAAAAGTCTTAATATTTTCATTGTAAAAACAAATCACACATATAAGAACAAAAAAAACCTACTAGGAATCCAATAAATAGGGCAAATGACATAAAAGATACTTCATATAAGACATTACATTGTCAGTAAATATACATACAAACATTTTACCTTACTAGAAAACAAAAATGTATGCTAAAAGAACAGTGGAAAAACATGTCACTCATTAGATCAGTAATATTTTTAGAATAAAAATGTCCAATGCTGGCAATCAGTTTGGTGACAGGGAAAACTGATGTAATATTTCTGAAAAATAATGTTCTAAATGTTCATACATTTTAACCCAGTAATTCCAGTCCACCCCCAATGGAATAATTTAAACATACTTTAAAAGCCACAGGTACAAGATATTTGTTGCAGTATTATTTGTAATACTGAAAAACTTTGAAAACAACCTAAATGCCCCCAAAGCAAAATGATAATTAAGTACATTAATATGCCTTAGAACTGACAAGATATAATACTACGACTGTGTGGGATATTATACTGCATTTTAAATGATGTTTAGGCTGATTCATAATGCTATCATGTAGTGTTAAGTGAAAAGAACAGGATGCAAAATTATATACATCAAAAGCCTACTGTTCTATGTAAAAACTCTATATACATAGGAGAAATAAAGAAACATAGGGATTTTTAAATCTCTTTGATACTTTCCAAATTTTATTTAACATGCATTTAATGTTTTAAATATATTTTAAAATGCCATGTTACTACTCAAAGCACTTTTCAATGCATTGCCTTGTTTTCACATTTCTATCTAAAGCAAAATCTTGGGCTTGGAAATACAGAAAACATCATAACACCTATTGTATAAAACTCAAATGAGAGTATTCATTATCATTTTGGTTATAAGTATAGTGAATCTTGAAAATATATGACAAGGCAGCTGAAATGTAGTATGGTTCATCACACCCCTTCTACCTCCGGGTACTGGGGCTCTTTCAGTAACCACCTTTGCTTCTAGTACCTGTGAATATACTATATTTATAAGTCACTGGCAGCAAAGGAAATGGTAATGATTGTTTCTAATGTTTTGAGGACAATCAAAACCAATTTTCCCCTCCAAATCAGAGCATTAAAAAGGTGCCATCTTTTCAAATGTTTATGTCGTTTCTAAGAGAACGAATTCTTATGAGAGCAAGAGATGGTGTCTATTTTCATTATGTATATACATAGCCTGGTTTACTGTTAGACTATAAATAAGACCCTTGGCCATACTATCCTAGAGCAAGGGTGAATTGACATTACATTGTTTTGGAAAGAAATACCATGTTTTTCCACAAATCACTCATGCCAAATGTGGTCACTCCGTTGAGACTTTAATGTAATCTCAACCCATCTTCACCCTTAAGAGTCTGAAACCTTATTCAAAGACAGAGAGACGGGAGAGGGGGAGAGAGGAAGAGAGGGAGAGAGGGAGAGAGGGAGAGAGAGGGAGAGAGGGAGAGAGAGACTTCAGGAGGTTGCACTTACACTCTAGCAGTTTTTGCAGAAACAAGGAAGGCAGTAGCTCTTATTTTTGTGATGTCAACTTGTACAGTAAAATGCAGTAAAGACCTTCTTTTCTTGACGCGAGGGATGTGAAATATATTCTAGGATGTGTATTCGGTAGGGTCCTTTGTTCTAGGGAAGAGCTTTCTTTTTCTAAAGTTTTTTGGTCTCATTCGAAGAAAGAGAAACTTAATATTTTGAGATTCTTTTAAAGTCATCTTTCAAAGCACCCCCCCCCACACACACACACAAAGATCAAGACAGCTCAACACTTGCGTATTAAGAATCCAGTCTGATTTTTTTCAACATGGCTGTATACTTCGCAGGCCCCCAAATTTGTGCTTTCATAGTCATTATCAAATAATCAGCAACACCATCTCTAATGAACCTGTATTTCGTGTGCTAGAAATGCGCTCTGTTTAAAGATCGTGTTCATTTTGAAGGCATCGCTGCTATTCGAGTGTCCTATTCGTGTCAGGGATGGAGCAGACTCTGGAGCTCCTGCAGCACGGTGGGCAGCAGGTCTGAGTGCCCTGGTGGCTGACACGTTTTCAGGGGTTGTGGACACTTTCTCCTGAGAAGTAGGGCCGGCCGCGTGCAGCGGGAGGAAATGGACCAGACTGTGATAGGAATAGAGAATGTATGTGAGCGACAGGAAGAAAGAGAGAGGGCGCCCGACTCGGTCCCCAGGTCACTGTGGCTCTGGGATTTGCACGAATTTATCACCACCATTAACAGCTACTTGCAGAGGGTTGTTTACCGCCTGAGCGCGACACAACCAGACAGCAAAGCCCACTTTGGGACCACAGCCACGCCCCCTAGCCCTTCAGCTCCCCTCCCTTCCCCCAAACTAATGAATTCAGGGCCGCCTTCCTGTCGGACCCTCCCATTGGCTCCTATCCCAACCAATCAGAGTCTTGCAACAGTTTCACCTGGCTCCCGCTTCCCAAATAAACAAACAAACCGTCCCGCAACAGTGCCAGCTCTGCTCCCTGGCGCCTCTGGCGTTCCTTCCCCTCCTACCACTTCTTGCCCCCTCCAGCCAATAAAGCCCCAACTGTGGCGCCCACACCCAGCCCTGATAGCTAGCCGCTCTCTCCTCCACCCCCCTGGCCTCCTCCCGCCTCCTCCTGTCTTTTTGGGCTCCCCTTTAGGACCCATGTGGCCAAAGAACCCCGCCTCCTCCTATGGGTCCTCCGGTGGCCCACAGGTCCTAAGATTCACCCAGGGGGTCTTGGCCCAGCTGGAGGTGGACCCGCCTCCTGGGATCAATGCCCCCTCCCTTGCACATCTCTACTGGTGGCCGCTTGCGCCCCTCCACTGCGCCGGTAGCTGGATCCGCAGCGGCCGCCGCGTGAGGCGGCAGTCACGTGTTGTTTTGCCCGCTGCCGCGCGCCCAGAGTGAAGTGGGCGGGGGCGCGGGCCAAGGCGGGAGGGGGCTGGGGCGGGCCGATGGGGGTAGATGGCCTCTTCCACCAACCCTCCCTTCCCCGAGTGCCCCCTCCCCCTTTCCGCTCACCTTAAAACCGTCGTGCATCACCATGGCGAGTAGCTCCTTCGCTCGCGACCAAGCGACAAGGAGACTGAGAGCTGCAGCAGCGGCAGCGGCGGCAGCTCTAGCAGCGGTGACCACCACCCCGCTTCTTTCTTCGGGAACCCCGACCGCACTCATTGGGACCGGGTCGTCTTGTCCGGGAGCCATGTGGCTCTCCACGGCCACTGGCTCCCGGTCAGACTCCGAGTCTGAAGAGGAGGACCTCCCCGTCGGGGACGAAGTCTGCAAACGCGGCTACCTGCGGAAACAGAAGCATGGGCATAGGCGTTACTTCGTGCTCAAACTCGAGACCGCTGACGCCCCAGCTCGGCTAGAATACTACGAAAATGCCAGGAAGTTCCGGCACAGTGTCCGTGCTGCGGCGGCTGCAGCAGCGGCTGCCGCCTCTGGTGCAGCGGTCCCCGCGCTCATCCCTCCGCGGCGCGTTATCACCCTATACCAGTGCTTCTCCGTGAGCCAGCGAGCTGATGCAAGGTACCGACACCTCATTGCCCTTTTCACGCAGGACGAGTACTTCGCTATGGTGGCCGAGAACGAGTCGGAGCAAGAAAGCTGGTACTTGCTGCTCAGCCGCCTCATCCTCGAGAGCAAGCGCCGCCGCTGCGGCACGCTGGGCGCACAGCCGGACGGAGAGCCGGCCGCGCTAGCGGCGGCAGCGGCGGCGGAGCCACCCTTCTACAAAGATGTGTGGCAGGTAGTAGTCAAACCCAGGGGGCTGGGGCATAGAAAAGAGCTGAGCGGCGTGTTCCGGCTGTGTCTTACCGACGAGGAGGTTGTGTTTGTGAGGCTGAACACCGAAGTGGCCAGCGTGGTCGTCCAGCTCCTGAGCATCCGTCGCTGCGGTCACTCAGAGCAGTACTTCTTCTTAGAAGTCGGCAGGTCCACCGTTATCGGTCCAGGGGAGTTGTGGATGCAGGTCGATGATTGTGTAGTGGCACAAAACATGCATGAGCTGTTTTTGGAGAAAATGAGGGCCTTGTGTGCAGATGAATACCGAGCCCGCTGCCGCAGCTACAGCATCAGTATTGGCGCCCACCTGTTAACCCTGCTGTCCGCTAGGAGGCACCTGGGCTTGCTGCCGCTCGAGCCCGGCGGCTGGCTCCGAAGGTCCCGCTTTGAGCAGTTTTGCCACCTTAGGTCCATTGGTGATGGAGAAGATGAGATGCTTTTCACCAGGCGCTACGTAACACCCAGCGAGCCTCTGCATCCCTCCAGGCAAGGAAGGCTGCACCTGCCCAGAGGGCGCAGGTCTAGGAGAGCGGTTTCAGTGCCAGCCAGCTTTTTACGCCGCTTAGCGCCCAGCCCGGTACGTGCCCCTCACCCTGAAGAAGACCCCAATAACAGAGCTTGTGAAGCCTCTGGCTCCAACTCTGGCAACTCTGGGAGAAAAGGGAAAGAGGTCAAAGAGAGTCAGGAAGGAAGTGAAGGCGACTACATGCCCATGAACAACTGGGGTTCAGGAAATGGCCGGGGCTCAGGAGGTGGCCAGGGCTCAAGTGGCCAAGGCTCCAGTAGCCAGAGCTCAAGAGGAAACCAGTGCTCAGGTGGGAGGCAGGGATCTGGAGGCGGCCAGGGCTCAAGTGGCGGCCAGGGCTCAGGAGGCCAGAGTGGTGGAGGAAACCAGTGTTCAGGAGATGGTCAGGGCACCTCAGGTGGTCATGGTTCAGGTGGTGGCCAGAGACCTGGAGGCGGGCCTGGCTCAGGTGGTGGCCAGGGACCGGGAGATGGCCATGGCACAGGTGGTGGCAAGAACTCTGGAGGCGGCAAAGGCTCAGGAAGTGGGAAAAGCTCAGATGGTGATGGTGACCTTGGAAAATCTCTGAAGAAAAGATCCTACTTTGGCAAATTAACTCAAAGCAAGCAACAGCAAATTCCGCCCCCACCCCCACCCCCCCCCCCACCCCCACCAGCCGGAACAACTAGTGGAAAAGGGAAGTCTGGGGGAAGATTCCGCCTTTATTTTTGTGCTGACAGAGGAGCCACAAAAGAAAGCAAAGAAGCCAAAGAGGTGAGAGACACAGAGACTTTAGAAGGTGCAGCTCGTGGTCCCCACAGAGCCAGAGCTTTTGATGAAGATGAAGATGACCCATATGTGCCAATGAGGCCAGGGGTGGCTGCCCCTCTTGCAAGCTCCAGTGATTATATGCCAATGGCTCCTCAAAATGTCTCTGCTTCAAAAAAGCGCCACTCTCAATCACCTTTTGAAGATTCAAGAGGATACATGATGATGTTTCCTAGAGTGAGCCCACCACCTGCCCCTAGTCCTCCCAAAGCACCTGATCCTAACAAAGAGGATGACTCAAAGGACAATGACAGTGACAGTGACTACATGTTTATGGCGCCTGGCGCTGGTGCAATTCCAAAAAACCCCAGAAATCCTCAGGGTGGCTCTTCATCCAAAAGTTGGAGCTCCTACTTCTCGCTGCCAAATCCTTTTCAGAGCTCACCCCTGGGACAGAGTGACCACAGTGAGTATGTACCAATGTTACCTGGAAAGTTCCTGGGGAGGGGCCTTGACAAGGAAGCCTCATCTAACTGGGGCCCCAAAGATGCACCTGCAAAGCCTTCAGCTGAGGGGTCATTCTCAAAGCCTAGAGATGGGGAGTCACCTTCAAAGCCTTTAGATGATGGCCCCCCAAAGGAGAAGGCTAAGAGACCTAACCGGCTCTCTTTCATGATAAAAGGAAATAAAATCAAGCCCAAACCACAAAAGCCCACACAGGAGCAGAGAGAAGCTGACAGCTCTAGTGACAACGTCAACATTGACTTCACTAAAAGAGATAGCAGTATGTCAGTCCCCTGTGCTCAAGGACTGCCAGATTCATGGGGCATAATTGCCAACCCCAGACGGCCAGCCTTTTCTAATTATGTGAATATTGAATTCGGAGTGCCATTTCCAAATCCAGCAAGCCGCCTCTCAGATCTCTTAAGAGCTATACCAGGTGCCAACCCCCTATCTCTGGATGGTGCTAGGTGGCCACTTCGTCCTCTTCCTCCCAATGCTACAGGTAGCAATGCTAATGTGCCAGAGGGCGAATACATTGAAGTGATTTTCAACCCAGCAATGACACCAGCCGTGCCTTTTGCTGACAGAGCCATTCGCTATGATGCTGAAACAGGTCGAATCTACGTGGTCGACCCATTTTCTGAGTGCTGTATGGACGTTTCTCTCTCTCCTAGCCGATCCTCTGAACCACCACCTGTAGCTAGGCTGCTGCAGGAGGAGGAGCAAGGGAGAAGACGTTCACAAAGCCCTACGCCAAGTTTCTTTGCAGCCGCAAGGGCCATTGTCTCGGCCTTCCCGACTGACAGCTTCCAGAGAGACCTTAATGCTGCCCCCTCCTTGGCTGCTGCTCCCGCAGCGGCGCCAACCTTAGCCGTGGGCCGCGCGTTAGCCGCGGCCTCCGCGCTAGCTGCGGTCCCGGGCATCGGCGCAGCCGCCGCGGGCTTAGAGGCCGCCGCTGGATTTGACTCCGCCTCCACCCGCTGGTTCCAACCTGTTGCTAATGCTGCTGCTGCGGAGCCGGTGAGGGGGGCCCAGGACATTGCTGAAGGCGCGAATCCGGGAGTCCCAGACCCAGCAGCCGACCTTGCCGGAGGTATGAACGCGGCGGGCGAGGCCGCTTCCGCAGCTGCAGCTGCTGCTCCCCCACCACCACCTTGCCATCGCCTGGGGCCGAGACCCCCGGAGAGAGAAGATTCTGAGGATGAGGATGAGGATGACACTTACGTGAGAATGGACTTTGCCAGACCTGACAACAAGAAGTTCGACTCTCCAAAAAGAGGTTGGTAATTTTATAATTAATTCCCATAAAGTTAATGGTCATTGCTTAATGAGTGAGCTGAAGCGCTACCATCTACAGCCTTAAGGATAAAGGAGGTAGCATTTCATTATTGGTGCTATTTAACATGGTGGGTAGAATTCAGTTTTAAATTTTCACACGAAATCATTTTGGTCTTTGTAAAACCTTAAGCTTTCATCTAATCCTAAATTTAGACAAAGCGGGTTATCATTGAAACATTGATTCTACTTTTTAGAATTAGTTAAAATTAAAGGTCAAGAGGATGCTTTTAAACATCCTCCATTTCTAAATGATAAGACAAAGCAGGACATGGTAAATTGAGTGCCACCAACCCATCACCTCATTTTCAAGTCAACAACTAAAAGATGCTTTTCCGCAAATGCCTATATTTAAGTGCAGGAATTAAATAAGCGCACGGGATATTAAGCAGTAACAATCAAGTATTGATGATACTTTTTGAAATGCAGTCATTGTTTTGCTGATTTGCTGTGATTGACCAAAAAGGCTAAATCTCATTTGTTAGCATGAATGAAAGGGGGAGCGGGTAACAACAATAATTAATCCAAAACAGGAGATGATTAAAAGAAGATAGTATTTGGCTCTGGAATATGTTTTTGTGTTGATCTTTTTTTGCTTTGTTTTTACACAGGATAAATTGTGAGAAACCGTGTCTCTTTTCTCTGTCACTGGTAGGGACGGGCAAGTCATCTTTGCTGTGCTTCATTTTCTTCTTTTAACCTGCCACCCTTTCAGAAGAGGGTGTGGTGACAACTTGATAATGGATAGGAATATTGTTTCAAAGGTTTAAAAGGCATTTAAAACATCTAATTGGTGCGTCTTCTGGGAAATCAAGGAAAGCAAGATAACTAGGCTGAAGTAAAAGCTGACCCCAGGGGCAGCCTACCCTGGAACAGTGGGAGGTTTTTAAAGGGCTAATTTTCCAAAGAAGTAAGAGTAGGATCTGTTGCTCTTAGAAACAAAACTTGGAGTAAATCTACTATGTACAACTTGCACAAAGTTGTTTTGAGACGTCTTCAAGGAATGGTTGCAAAAAAAGAGGCTGTCCTCATAGTCACCACTGCCTTCCGTCTTTAGTAAAACATGCTTCTTTTCCAGTGAAGGGAAGGAATGGACCCCAGCAGCTTTCATTCCAGTAGTCAGTTAGTGAAGATTTTTGCTTTGCTTGCTTTGTGGAATGCTTTTGTGATTGGATCTCTGCCTACTGTGCTTGATCAGGCAGAACAAGTCCAGGACTGATCACAACAGTCACCTAACAAGCTCCCTATTTAGTGCAGGTGTAGCCCCCCCCCACCTCCCCTTTCTCCCCATGCTATAGAAAACTTGCCATACAAAAACTCACATTTGCAGCACAGACACACTAAAAGAGTGATCATTAAAACGACAAAAGGATGCTTTGGCTTGCCAAAGAATTAGATTCAGTCCTTTAAATTGTAAGCCTCCTTCCCAGCACACACACACACACACACACACACACACAATAGCACCACTACTCCATTTAAAATTTATAATTCCATTTCTAAGAAATTAATTCATAATCAGCTTTCAGAAACCAGTCTATTTCATTTGGTAAAGTGCACCTGAAAATTGATTTCAAGCTATTGTTGGAGCCTAACTGCTGAAGACAAGGTTTACAACTTTGATGTAAAATGCACATCAAAATAGTCATACATCAAAATAGCTGCTTATGTCCCTATGGTACTTTGAAAGGGATGAGTTTTCATGCGGGTTTGCCTATACTTTCCAATAATCTTTGTTTAGGTAAAAATTAAAAATAGTGAAATCTGAGCGTTCTTCAAATAAACCTTGCCTTCACAAAGACTACTGAGATCCAATGATCATTGTAATAGTAACTACTTTGGAGATCTAACATTTTCTAAATGTATTGTATATTGAGGGGATTCCTAACTTTATTGAGTGACTACAGCAAGGAGGCAGTATCTCACAGGAAGGCAGGCACTTAAATTAAAGAGATTGAATGTGGTAGCAATTTGGGAGGTTAAAGCACTTTATAAATGGAAGATATTTTTTATTGTGTCATTGTATTAGCAGTGAAGTTACGTTTCGGCCATTTAAATTTAGGATTAAGTTTTTGAAAAATGCCTGGTGTTGAGGGTGATTCTTGCACATTATTTGCTGATATATAGAGAAGGAATGGGGGTGTGTGAATGGGGTGGGGGTGTGGTAAAATACCCATTGCAGGAAATGCCTTTGGTTAGCATTTTAACGTGAATTGATATAGTGGAGTGATGTCTTCAAGTGTTTTGAACAGGCTGAATGAATCTGATCATTTCTTAGTATAAAGTTGTAGAATACCTTTTGCCTATTTCTTTTCTCTCTTCACTTTCTTATTTAATATTTAAAAAATAAAAAGACCTTGTTAGGAAACAAAAAAGTGCCCTGATAGAGAAGCAAGTCATACATAGTGTTAGGAGTTATGTGTTTCAAAAGTATTTTTGATTTTATGGAAAGTGCTTAGAACAATACCTGGAACATAGTAAGTGCTACACATGAATTATTATGTAGTTATTATCAGTGTTGTTGTTACTCTTATTACATTTAGAAATACAAAGCAAAATTAAAATTCTCTGATCACAAATTTCTTTTTTCAGTTAGTCTTATTTAAAATACTCCATGGAGTTTTTCATAGTCAGGCTCTTCACAGTTGAGAGCTGATTATCAATGAGACTGCTTTTTTCATGAAACACAATTAATAATCTCACTTATCTACAGTCACTCTGCATATGAGAAAGTACTTTAAGGGCATTTGTTCAAGTCAGAAAGAAACACTCAGAAATATAACTTGGATATTACTTTTTTAAAAAATAAGTGAAATCTTTTAAAGCATTTGTTGAAGATGAAGTGTTCACATTTTGGATTGTAGTATATGTTAGCATTTAAGAGGAAAATGTAGTTTCTTGTGTGGTTTAGTCTGACTCCTAATCAATGTATGACCCTTTGCTTCTATTACTACTTTACCTGATACAGAAGCGATAGGTTGAAATAACTTGAGGTGAAAAATTCCCTAGTTTTTCATTTAAGAGATAGGAGAATGGAAAGGACAGCTCTAGAAGGTATGAGATAATGGGTCAGCCATTAGTTATTTTATGATAGTATCTGGTATTTAAAAGCAAAAATAATTAACTTCTGAAATTTTATGCACTGCTATCACCTATAGGATGCCCAAATTTCTTTTGAATGTATATATCCCTGCCAAATCTCATTGCCATAAATTATAGCAGTAGGAGCAAATTATTTTTATTGTATTTAACTTATTTATTACAAATTGCTAGAATAAAACCTGGATATAGCGGAGATTTCTCAGCCACCATTGATGGGTCACTTATTTTAGGCAACATTCAACGGCCTCTCCCCACAATTTGGAAAGTTGTTTGGAGTAATGAGGTATTTGACCTACAATAATTAAATAGGACCTCGCTCAATTAAAGTTAGCTAAAGTTGTTGGCAATCATGATTCATTTGCATTCATTCTATTTTAAGAGAGAAGCTTCCAGGATAAAACTCTCAGACACTAGCAAAACATCTCCATCAAACAAGGACCAGGGCTTTAATTAAGCACGTCAGAATATCACACACGCATAAAAGCTCAAACAGGATCTCTTGCTTTCTTTTCCTGTCCCTAATCACCAAACATGAACCAAAATACTTCTGAGTCATTGGCAGGGAGCTAGTTGTTTTGGGAACTAACTCAGGCTTCCAAAAAACTTCATGTTGAAACAGATGTGTAGGAAGAAGTAAGGAGTACTGTGTGTGATTTGAAATGGACTGCTGTTAAACTGTCAATTTGTTGTTGTTTGAGGGAATGCTTTCCAGTTGCAGATTGCCTTATAGTTTCCAAAGCACATTCACATTCATTATTTTACTGATGAACGGTAAGTACTGGAAATGAAGCCGGTGTTAAGAATTTTCCTGTGGTCAAAAAGGTAAGTGGCAAAGCTGCAAATTTAAATCATACATCCGATTTCAAATCCAATGCCCCACCTAGAACAGCACAATTCCCTTTTCAATCAGGTGTTCAATCAGTTATTTTCTTATCAATGAAAGATTGTCATATAGGCAAGGACTGGGAAAATTTATATGTTTGCTTGAATTTGATAGTAGCAAATTTTGTTGTAACTCATTTGGAGTGTTTTAACTGTGGACCATTTGCCAGGGTTTGGGTAATTTTCATTACATTGAACTGTTTGCCAGGGCCTTAGAATAAAAGAATTTGACCTGGGCTGGAAGTGAATATTTTAAATTTGATCTGGGGAGGAGCTAGCTAATCTTTACCTCCCAAGCACAAATAATGTGTGTATCTATTTAGTTCCTACAGAAACATTGAAAGCAATGAAAGTGAATTGAGGGTGTATTCAGTAAATGTCCATTAATAAATGGTCATTTCCTTAACTGAAATTAGATTTTTATGATTTTCCTAATAATCCAGTGACATCTGCCAGCTATATCAAAAAGTCTTTTTATTTAATTTCTTTCTGTATAAAATATGATATTGTAATCTAAATTACCACAGTGGGCAAACAGGATAAAGTACGGTAGGTAGAAGAAAACATGATGTAGAAATAGATGTTCATTTGTTTAAAAAGTAAACTTACTTTTGGCAGTCAGGCAAGTAGATTTTAGAAGCCTTGAAAATCAAATCCTCTCCTGAGGACATAAAAATCCTTGTTTAAAATTAAGTTCATTTTGTTTAGCACCTTTTTAAGTCTTTAAGACTATGTAAAAATAGCCCAGACATTTTATTGGCAGTATTGGAAAATAGCTTTTGTAAAATGCTTAATTAAAGTCTGCAGTATGTTTTGTCTAAGAGGTGCTGCCGGCTCTTAGGTGTTGAGGATCATTTACTGGAAAACATTGCTTGGTCCTGAGTGAGAAATGTGAGATTAAAAAAAAAAAAAAAAACTAAAACTTTTTAAGGGCTAGAAGGTAACTCAGTGGTAGAGCACTTGCCTAGCATGCACAAGGACCTGGGATCCATCCCCAAACCAAAAAAAAAAAACCAAACAAAAACTACTTTCTAATGAAATGA